GATTTATTAATGAGAACTCAGTCTAAAGTGAAGTTGTAACATTAAACTAATTAGAAAAGTCAAGATAAAGCTTTATAAGTAAGACAGAAAAATAGCAAATATAATATCAAAACTCAGTAAAAACAAGAAGAGTAATTTAACTGCATATCAGAAACACACACATATATATTTGTATATTTATATGTAGCACTAAAAATTACACAGGTAATGATCATCACCATAGAAATGTGAATATAAATGTAAGATTAAAATCTTACCTCAATGGCATAGATAAAATCTTCCCCAAAATCACAAAAGACAAGTTTGCCAAACTCAAAAAAGTTATAACATTTCAGATACTGGAAACATTCACAACACCAAATAGGCAAAAATATAAAAAGAAATACCACATAGCAGGCCCTACTTAATATAAAGAACAAAACAAGAGCATTAAAATATGAAGGGGGGGCTGGACAGATGGCACAGTGTTTAAGAGCACTGGCTGCTTTTCCAGAGGACCCAAGTTTGATTCCCAGCCCCCACATGGCAGCTCATAGCTCTCTGTAACTCCAGTTTACAGAGATCTGACACCTTCACACCAATGCACATAAAATAAAATTAAATCAATTATTAAAAAATAAAATAAAATAAAATATAAAGAAGTGAACTAAATGTCTCATGTATATGAGGAAAATGGGGAAAACCCACTAGAGTAACAGCTGATTACAGAGGAGAAGGAACTAACCAAAAGAGCCAGGGACTGTGCCATCCTAAAGAGAATAAGGGCCTGTACTGACTATTGTAGTAAGCAAAACTGTCTGCCATAGTTGCAGGAGAAGGGATTTTTTCATGAATTAAAAGGTATGAAATGATTCATAACATGCATACCCATAGAGAACAAGAGACAAGAAACAGTATTTAAGACTGACAGGCAACTCGAGCCAGAAGAGCAGATATACTAACTTCAGACCTTCATCTCAACTTTTTCTTTTCTTAATCCAATCCCCAGTACCATCTTCAGCTTTGATAAAATGGCCTGCAGGATGTTCCCTGCTGCCTGTGATTTCATCTCCATTGGTAAAACACATCTTTCAATTCTAACCCCAATTTTCACAACCTTTCTTGGTCTCAGCACCCAACTCTGGCAGTAATTCCCTGGAACTCCAGAGTCCTCCCTGACAGGTAAGAAGTTAACTCCAGGACTTCACCTCTCACCATGGCTCTTTCAGTCCAATGTAATAGATTCAGCCCAAGCTCTGTAGCAGAACTGCAGCAGCCTCATCCTTCCCTATGTCAGAGAATCCCACAACCCACCCCTGAACCTTCCTTCTACTCCTGATTGCATTGTCCACACTCCAAATCCAGCAGAAACAAAGACCCAGGAACCAAACTGAAATGGGAAGCAAGGAGGCAAATTGCTGATTTTCAACTTTTTCTCTGCTTTTCTAAATCTATCCCCCAAGACTCATCCCCAGATCTGGAAGAAAACATACTACTTCTGAAGCCATTTCATCTCTCCTGCACTAATCTAAAAAGGATCACACAGATTTCCCCATCTCAATTTTCATCTCATAATTCATTGATCTTTTCCTACTTGAAACTCCAGAAGTAATTCTCTTCAAACAGAGGCCATCCTTACCAGAGAAGCAAATACACTAGTTGCACATGATCAATTCTGTATCCATGCCCCCATGTCCTATCTCCCAATCTCACCCTCAGACCTTTGTCAGACATTCTGCTATTGACTCTACTCACTAATGGCCCACTTATAAGTTGATAAAAAGCCATGAAGACAACGATAACAGAGCTATAATCTGTAGAAGAACAAGGGGAATGAAACAGATATATCTTCTTTAGGAAGGGGAATAGAATAAACAAGTATGAATAGATAGTGCAGGATGAATAGAGATGGGGTTCTAGGCAGGAGTACAGGTTAAGACTGATAAAATTAATGGGCATTTGAGGTGTAGCATTGAAACCAAATTCAGTAGGAACTTCCAGAAATATACATGAAAGATACCAAAGAAATATTGCTAAATAATAGGGGAATCA